CATCATCATCATCATCATCATCATCATCATCATCATCATCATCATCATCATCATCATCATCATTAGCAGCATCATCATCATCGTCGTCCTCCTTCTCCTCCTCCTCATCATCATCATCAGCATCAGCATCATCCTCACCATCATCGTCGTCCTCCCCCTCCTCCTCCTCCTCCTCCTCCTCCTCCTCCTCCACAACCTCCTCATCCTCCTCCTCCTCCTCTTCCTCCTCCTCCTCCTCATCATCATCCTCATCATCCTCATCGGCATCAGCAACCGCATCATCAGTATCATCAGCATCATCATCATCACCAGCAGCAGCATTACAATCATCAGCACAATCGTCATCAGCATCATCATCATGAGCATCATTGTCAGCAACGACGTCGTCAGCATCAGCATCAGCATCATCAGCATCAGCATCAGCAGCATCATCAGAAGCATCAGCAGCAGCAGCAGCATCAGCATCATCATCAACAGCAGCAGCATCCTCATCCTCATCCTCATCCTCATCCTCCTCCTCCTCCTCCTCCTCCCTCCCTCCCTCCCACACTCACTCACTCCTGCTCCTCCTCCTCCTCCTCTTCTTCCTCCTCCTCATTCTCCTCCTCATCCTCCTCCTCCTCCTCGCTCTCCTCCTCCTCCTCCTCCTCCTCCGCTGCCTCCTCCTCCTCCTCCTTATCCTCCTGCCCCTTTTCCTCCTCTTCCTCCTCCTCCTCCTCCTCCTCCTTCTTCTCCTCCTCATCAGCATCAGCAGCATCATCGTCGTCATCATCATCATCATCATCATCGTCGTCATCATCATCAGCAGCATCATCATCGTTCTCATCATCATCATCATCATCATCATCATCATCAGCATCAGCATCAGCATCATCATCATCATCTTCATCATCATCATCATCATCATCATCATCATCTGCATCATCACCGTCATCACCATCATCAGCAGCAGCAGCATCCTCATCATTATGTGTATCAACACCATCATCATCATCAGCAGCAACAGCAGCAGCAGCATCAGCATCATCATCAGCATCAGCATCATCAGCAGCATCATCATGATCATCTTCACCACCACCACCATCATCATCGTCATTATCAGCATCATCATCATCATCAGCATCAGCATCAGCATGAGCATTAGCGACAGCAGCAGATCGTCAGCATCATCATAATCAGCAGCAGCATGATCATGATCAGCATCATCATCATCCTTATCAGCATCAGTATCATCAGCATCATCATCAGCATCACCATCATCATCAGCAGCAGCATCAACATCATCATCATCAGCACCATAACCATCCTCGGCATCATCAGCATCATCACTGCCACCCTCATCATCATCATTATCATCATCATTATCATCATCATCATCTTCTTCATCATCATCATCATCATCATCCTCATCATCATTTTCATCCTTAACATCATCATCGTCGTCATCATGAGCAGCCGCAGCAGCTTCATCCAAATCATCATCGACCACCATCAGTCATCATCACCACCGTCATCATCGTCGTAACACCTTCACACGTCATCACCATCATTATTATCACCATCATCAGTATCACCATCATCATCATCATCAGAATTCTCATCAGCATCAGCATCATCATCATGATCAGCAGCAGCATCATCTTCATCTCATCGTCGTCGTCATCATCAGCAGCATAATCATCATCGTCGGCAGCAGCATCATTAGCATCAGCATCAGCATCAGCATCACCATCACCGTCAGCATCAGCATCATAATCACCGTCATCATCAGCGACTGCAGCAGCATCGGCAGCACCGTCAGCATCATCATCAGCATCGTCACCATGATAATAATCAGCAGCATCATCACCAGCAGCATCATCATCGGCAGCATCATGAGCATCATCAGCATCATTATGATCATCATCAAAACAAAATCATCGTCAGCAGCAGCATCATCATCACGATCAGGAGCAGCAGCATCATCATCATACTTGTCGTCATCATCATAACCATCCTCGGCATCATCAGCATAATCACTAGCAGCATCATAATCATCATGTTCATCAGCATCCTCAGCAGCATCATAATCAGGAGCCGCATCATCATCTTCATCATCATCAGCAGCAGCATCGTCATCATCATCATCATCATCATCATCATCATCATCATCATCATCATCATCATCATCATCATCATCATCATCATCATCATCATCATCATCATCATCATCATCATCATCGCCAGAGGGGGGAGGCCAGCCAGGAGCCTCAGCAGCAACAGAGAGCAGCCAGCATCTCCCAGCGACTGGCCCCATAACTTTTGCCTGGCGTGTTGCGGCGGCCGCCCCCGCGACACGCCACACCCTGCAAGCTGACAGCGTGCCGCTCCGCTCCGCGGGGCGGGGGGCTGGGAAAACCGCGGGGCCTTGACGCCCGGGGACTGGGACGTGTTTAGCCTCTTGCGCAGCAGCGTGGTGGGCCGGAACCGGCGGCGCGACATTCCCAGCGGAAGTTCCCGACTGTATACCGTGGCGGTGGACCCTAGAGGTCTCCGGTCCCTCTCGTGCGAGATGGGAAGGGAAAGGATGGATGACCCAGGACCTCCTAGCGCCACGAAAATAGAAGAATCACGACGGCGGGTCTGTTCTCCAAGGCTTTGGGGGCCCGTCACGGCCATCAGGCCTGTCGAAAAACAGCACAACGACGAAAAACTGGCCTCCCAGATGGACTCCACAGAAACTCCTAAAGTCCACGGGTTGAAAAACAAGCTTGCAGGAGGCCTGGGGAGGCCTAAGGAGAGGAAAAGAGGGCCCTGCTCCTAACGCCATAGTCTCCCACCTCCTCGTATTTGTCCTACCTCCTCCTCCTCCTCCTCCTCCTCCTCCTCCTCCTCCTCCTCCTCCTCCTCCTCCTCCTCGTCCTCCTCCTCCTCTTCCTCCTCCTACCGCAATAGCCGCTCCCCCACCTCATCTTTGTTCTTCTCATCCTCCTCCCTCCTCCTCCTCCTCCTCGCTCTTCCTCCTCCTCCTCGCTCTTCCTCCTCCTCCTCCTCCTCCTCCTCCTCCTCCTCCTCCCCCTCCTCCTCCTCCTCCTCCTCCTCCTCCCTGTTCCTCCTCCTTCCTCGACGACACTGGAGGACGGGGTGACAACGACGACGACGACGCCGACGACGAAGACGACACGACGATGACGACGACGACGACGACGACGACGGCGACGACGACGACGACGGCGCCGACGACGACGAAGACGACAACGACGACGAAGACGACGACGACGACGAAGACGACGCCGCACCGACGCCGACGCCGACGCCGACGCCGACGCCGACGCCGACTGCGAGAAGGCTTCCTGAGGGGCAACGTTAGGGGGAACTGGCTCAAGGGGGAATAACCTCGGCGGTACATCGCCGATAGAGCGCGACAGGCCCCCGATAGCGAACCCGCACTCTTCTGGGCGGGGTGTGCAATCGGACCCCTGTCGGCGATCCAAGGGCGATGGCGGGTCGGTGCGTCCCTCCGTGAGCATACTCCCCTCCCCGCTGGTTTGTGGATCATACTTCGGGCCGCCGGCGGTCGAGCGGGACGATCTGGGCAGGCCCCGAACGCTCTCGGCGAGGCGGACCCACTGAAAGGCATCCCGAAGCTGAACTCGATGGACGACTGGGGGTCGATGCATCACACCCCTGGGCGAAGGGGCTCCCTTCTGGCTCCCCCGAGGAATGTGGCCGGCAGACCGGCGCTCTCGGCCACGGCGGCGGCGAGGTCGCGGCGGTTGGTGATGAGCAGCAGCCCAGACGGCTGGGAGAGCGGGAAGGGCGTTCTGGCCATGCTCCGCCTGTTCTTTCACCTCATCCTCCTCCTCCTCCTACTCCTCCTCCTCCTCCTCCTCCTCCTCCTCCTCCTCCTCCTCCTCCTCAGCCTCCCTCCAGCCTCCTCTCTCAGCATCCTATCCTCCTCCTCCTCCTCTCCTCCTCCTCCTCCTCCTCGCCTCCTCTCCTCCTCCTCCTCCTCAGCCTCCTCCTCCTCCTCCTCCCTCCTCCTCCTCCTCCTCCTCCTCCTCCTCCTCCTCCTCCTCCTCCTCCTCCTCCTCCTCCTCCATTCCTCCTCCTTGTAGGTAACTCCTCCCTGTCGCACCCCGAGGCCGGTCGAAAGGGCGGCCCGGGCGTTCCGCTCGAGACGTCCTCACGACTTGTGGTCTTGAAGCCTTAAGTCTGCAAAAAACTTCACGGACGGAGGGCGGCCCGCTCTCATGATGCGGCTCTCGCGCCTGAGCGCCGCGCGCATCATTCTAGCAAAAGTTGCACAAGTTTCGTTTCACAGATGGAGGGCGGGTGGCTTTCAAAATGCGGCTCTCGCCTTCGCCCGCGCACACTCTTTGAATGTCTGCAAGAGCTTCACGGATTGAGGGCGGCTCCTTTGCAGAATGTGGCTCTGGCCCTAGCGCCACGCACATTCGTTCTGAAATGCTGCAAAAGTTTCACAGATTGTAGCGAAGCAGAAATGGCGTTTTGGAGCGATTCAGGATTGTCAGGGCGCAACACTTGCGTGAATTCGCGGTGTTGAAATCCCAAGACTGGCGTTTTGGCACGACTCCGGATCGCCACGAAGCAACGATCAGATTAACGCGTGGCGTTGAGGTTCTGAGAGTGTTCTGGCAAGCTTCAGGATTTTCACACGTCTGTCCCCCAACGGGGCAATTCCTGTGGAAATGAACCTTGTAAGGGGCCTATAAAAGGGGAGCTTGGAGGGAGGGTTTACACTGGTCCTCCTCCTCCTCCCCCTCCTCCCCCTCCTCCTGCACCTCCCCCTCCCCCCCGCCGTAGCCATTTCGGCTCAAGATGCCTTTTGACAGTGGCAGAGCACGGATACCGCTGATCCGCGGCAGTCTTTCTCCGATTGCGCAACCGACGCTAGGCTGTGCACTGGCGATCGGCCAAGAAAACTCGGTGAGCTTCTGTCGGAACAAGCGCGTGTCATGTCGTGGCGCCGCGAAGCGCCCTGGCGTAAGAAGCGACCGTGGAGTTCGTGGGGCGACGAAGGCACTCGGTAGCGTGCCCATCGTCGTCGGCTGTATTCCGGGCGCTCCGCGTGCGAGCACTGGAAGTATGATGCACGGGAACTGGTCCTGCAGCCTCCCTCCCTCCCTCCCTCCCTCCATCCATCCCCCCTCCTCCTCCTCCTCCTTCTCCTCCTCCTCCTCCTCCTCATGTTGGTGAATGAGCCAGTGGCGGTGGTCCTTCGTCTCAGTCCAAGGCTCATCGTGATATTCCTGCTGCTCGGGCTCAGCAGTTGCAGGCGGTGGCAACCAAGTTTCCTTCCATGGCGGGTGTGCTCGAGACCGCCGCGGCAGGCGTCGTTCCCGAGACGGTCGAGGTACCCCCACCAGCTACGGCGTCTGAGATAGACAAGAAGGTGGCTGCTGGACGCACGTCTTTGGCGAAGGCGGTGGAGGCGTCGACCAAGAAGGAGCGGGTCGCGCAGGGCGAGGTCGAGATCAAGCTGCCCTCCCTGGTCAAGTCTTGTGATGCGACCGAGCATGCTGAACGTACCCATGGTGGGGCGACGGAATGGCTTCTATCTCGTCTTGGACGAGGTCAAGGAGGCCGTGGAGTAGAAGGAGAGCTTCGACGAGACGAAGTTTCGTGCCGACGCTCGTAAAGGATGAGGCTGCGCAACGCGCAGCCAGACAGGCTCGGGAGCAGGCAGCTTGCGAGGCCTTTGGTGCTGAGGGCGGCGGCGGCAACGCCGCGGGGAAGGGCGCAGGCGCTGCGGGCCCGCGCCCCCCGCAGCGCCAGCGCGCCGGCGAACCTCCCCGCCGCAGGCGCGGCGCCCCCCGCGGGTGGTGCAGGCGCCGCCGCGGGCGCAGCCGCTGACGCACGCGCCTCGCAGACCCACCTCGGCCCAGCTTCACCGACCTTGGAGGCGTCGACTGGCAGTGCACCCAGGAACACCTTCATGAAGTCGCTGAAGGGGAGGTGAACGAGTTCCGTGCACAGAAGTCCAAGCTCACCAACGCCCAGTGGCAGGAGGTGCGGAAGGTCGCAATCTCGCAGCGAGCGGAGGAGGTTGACGTGTCTGACGCGGGGGGTGATGCAGGCGATGCGAGCCTTCCTGACACTGAGCGTGGAGAGCTCAAGGAGTTGCGTAAGCGTGCTGCCGAAGGCGGAGGCCTCGATAGCCCTGCCTCACAGCGCTACGGAGAGTTGGTCAGCAAGCGAGCAGTGCATCGCGCTGCCAAGAAGGCCAGGCGTGTTGCGCAGCATCAGAGCGCCAACACTTTCGTGGCTTTCTGACAGGCGGCGGCCGCCCAGCTCTCTGCCATTTCCGAGGCGCCTGCAGGCCCAGCCAGCCAGGCGCAAAGTCTTCGACAGTGGTATGTACCCCAAGCGGGGGCGCGATCGTTTCCGACCTTCTGGTCTGGAGCTCCTGCTTGTGAATGTTACGAGCTGGTCTGACATCACGTCAGGATTAGTGACAACTCGCCTTCCGCAGGCGGACGCGGTGTCCGTCGCAGAGTAAAATCTCGTTTCAGAGGGTGTCGCAAAGGCCAGGACGGAGGTTCGAGCGATGGGTTGGAGCCCGTTGCTTCAAATGTTATGGAGCTCCTTGGAGGTAGTACCCATGGACTTGTGGCGTGGTTCGCCCAATGAGGTTTGCAGTTTCAGCGTTGTCTCAGAGATGCTTCCCGAATGACCCAGATTGGTTCTGACAAGTGCTGGTTTCCATTGGAGCGCAGAAATTGCACGGTCATTGCATCGCTGTTGGCACACTGTGTTCGGCGGCGTCTCTGCGGGGCCGTCGGTGAGAACCTTGATCGTCTGAAGCAAACTTCGGGTGTCGTGAACACCCTGTCGACCCGTGGGTCCTGAACGGGGACTCTAAAATGCATCCTGGTCGCCTGGACGAGTTTGGTCTCCTGGACCTGGCCGGCACGAGGGCAGTGGTCCCCAGCCGCGTCGAGCTCGCCTGCCGCGTGGGGCGTACCATTATAGATTATACGAATTGCTTGACGGGCCTGGCCCCTTACGTGCGAGCGCTGGCCATCCCCGACTCACCGCTCAAGACGCACGCGCGTCTTCGGGTGACGGTCCCCGCGGAGGACATCACTCGAGCTGTTCGGCGCAGGTATCGCGCTGCGAAGCTTCCCGAGGCTCACGGGCCAGACCATCTCTGGCCTCACTACCTCGCCCTGACCTGCAAGCACGGCTACAAGTATCACATTCCGTCTGATCTGAAGGACTCTACATTGGAACACACCTTGGTTCGCACCAACATCGCTGTCCTCATGTATTGGGGCGCGGTAGGCGTATCGGTTGCAGTTTTTTTTCTGTCAGCTTATGCCATATTTGTTTCTCACGTTGAGCCGCTGTAGACTCCAGAGTGTGCCAAGCGCTGACACGATGACCTGTTTGATTTTCCATGGGCACCTGACCTTATGCGTCGACTGATTGATCGTGCGGGTGAAGTTGGTGTGCCCGCTTTGTCGTTAGTTCGAGCTGCCAATAAAGAAAGAGTCAAGAAGTGGCTCCGTGATGCAACCCCTGGGGGGCGGAAGTAAAGTACATGCGTGGCTTGAGTCCGAAGGTAAGGTTAGCGGTTAGCGTGGAATACCTCGTGGCCCCTGATGGTGTCCGCCAGACCCCCGAGAGCATGAGGGAGTATCGCCAGGTTTTCTGGGGCAAGATGTGGTCTCCGCCTCCCGGCCATCTAGTCATCTTGAAAGATACGCTAGGTGAGTTGCGTACCCAAGCTAAGTTGGCGCTCCCGGAGGTTCCTGAGTTCACCCCGAAGGATGTGGTGCAGTCTGCTATGCGCGTATCTGCCTCTACCGCTCTGGGGGGTGATCAATGGTCTGCGAGGGCGTTTCTGAACTTGCCTGGCCAAGCTCTGTCTTGATTTGCTGCTAGTCGAACCAGTGCGAAAAGTTGATGGTTTTCCGGAGGGGCCCAAAAAATGCAGGCCATCTGCGCTGGCTGGAAACAGAGGTGTGACAGCTGTCCTCTTCCTCCTCCCCCTGCTGCTGCTCCTCCCCCTCCTCATGCTCCTCCGTCCACTCCCCTGCTCCCTCTCCTCCTCCTCATCATCCTCCTCCTCCTCCCAGATATCACCGTCAACAGCAAGGATGCAGCAAGAGTTGGCGGAAGTATAGCTGCAAGTGCAGTCTCATCTGTGCTTGTCATACCAACAACAGGTGCAGCAGCAGCAGCAATGGCGACTGTAGAAGAGGTAATAATCCAGGGCGAGCTTAGGCAGGGGCAGCTATGCCCTTCCTGCTCCCCAGAGGCCCCCGCGTCCAGCCGGCCAGCGGGCCGCGCCACCGGAGACGAGAAGGACGAGGACGAGGAGGCGGCGAGTTGAGCGAGGAGGGCGGAGGGGGAGGGGGAGAGGAGCGGGAGGAGGGGAGGGGGGAAAGAGGGGGGAGGGACGAGCTAGGCGCGCTGGCGCCATATCTGACCTCCTACCCCTCCCACCCAACCCTTCCCATTGTGCTGATGTTTTCTCTATCTGGTGCGGAACTCGAACAGAATCGTAGGGGGAGCAGCGTACATAGGAGGAGGTGGCGGATGTGCAGGAGGATGCGCAGGAGGAAAAGGAGGATGAGGAAGGAGGAGGACGAGGACGAACAGCAGTAGCGAAAACTGGAGTGGAAGGAGCGGCAGCAGCAGGAGGACCAGCAGAAGGCGGAGGAAGGGAAAGGAGGAGGCGGAAACGATGAGAAAGGACTCGGATCCAGGAAAGTGGCCCGTGCCGGGGCGAGAACGACGGGATCAAAGCACCGATCCAAAATGAGGCCAAAGCTGCAGCGAGATCACAACTTCGAAGAGCCGAACACGATCGGATTGGAAAAGCACATAAGAAACAATCTCTGGAATCGTGCTTGTGGAAACGATACGCGGAGAGGGCGGGATGCTCTCAACATGTCTACGTCTTAGGGGTAGAGAGGAGAGCAATATTCATACGAACATTGTATCATTGCCGGTGGGGCCAGGGAGAGGAAGACGAGGATGATGAGCAGCAGCAGTGGAGGACGAGGAGGTGGTGTGGCGGTAAAATGAGCGCGGACGCTGCGCTTTGTCCAAAGGGCTTCCTTCAGCGCCACTGAGGGCGGGAGGAAGGGAGGGAGAGGGAGGGAGGGAGGGAGGCGGGGAGGGAGGGAGGGAGGAGGGAGGGAGGGAGGGAGGGAGGAAGGGAGGGAGAGAGGGAGGGAGGGAGGACGGGCGGGCAGGGGAGGGGAGGGGAGGGACCGATGGTGAGCAAAACTGTGAAGCCTGGCACCCAGCACTGCAGCATCCACAGGGACGGAGCCTGGGCAGGGAACCTCGAACGAGCCGGGGCGCCCGGGGCATTGGAAAGCAGCCTGCTCTGCAGGGGGGGGAAGGAGGAGGAGGAGGAGGAGGACGAGGGAAGGGAGGAGGACCAGCGTGGGATCGGGCAGCAGCGCGGCGTACGTGGGGCGCTTCAGCGGGTCGCCCTCCGTCAGCGCCCAGCCCGCGGGCTTGTGGGCCAGCAGCGCCAGCTCCGCCAGCTCCGGCAGCGGGTGGCCGTTGACGGAGATCGCGGAGTCTGGGGCGTCCACCCAGCCTCTCTTGGTGGGAGGCTCAGGAAGGTGGCGCAAGCACCAACATCGACGCCTGCCTCCACCGAGGGAAGACGATCGCGATCTCGGCGATGGTGGTAACACTCGGGCTCATCAAGGCACCGCCCCATGTGTTGGGGTCAGTACCGATCTCCGGGCCTTCAAAGTTTGCTTTCTTCTCGTCGAGCCGAACCCAGATCCCAGCGACGGTACGCTTTGTTCTGAATCCTGGCGTTGGTCCTCGATCTCGGCCTCCGGGGGCCCGTGGTCGGGCCCCAGGGCCATCAGAAACGGATCCGGGGCGGAAAACTCCGGTGGAAGGGGTCGGGATCTCTGGGGCCTCGAATTGTTTCTTTGTTTTTGCTTATCTATCTATATATATATATACATGTATATCTACATATCTAAGTTTTAAAAAGAAGATAAACAAAAACACACACACACAATCACACACACACAAACACAAAAACAAACAAAAAAAAAACAAAAACAAAAAAAAAAACAAAAAAAAAAACTCCTGGGCCTTGCTAGGCCTCAGGCTGGAGCGCGCCCTCACCGCCACGGCTGGAGCCGCCCCGAAGTCCCAGTCGGAGCCGCCCGACCCTGGGCAGGTCCGGGAGTCGGCTCCGAGGCCCAGGATCCGGACCTCCTGCGTCACGAGCAGAATCGGCGGCGAGCGAGGGGGGAAATGAGAAGGAGAAGGCCTTCTGAGAGGGGGCAACGAAAGGGGGAAAGGGGGGGACTGGCATAGGGGGGGTGCATCGACCCAGAGTCGGCGATACGCCGCCAATAGATCGGCGATAGGGTCCCGATGGTGAGTCCGCACCTTCCTGGGCAGGTCAGGGCTATCGGGCCCCTATCGGCGATCAATAGGCGACTGGGGGGTCGATGCATTCCCCCCCTGTGCCTATCCCCCCCTGTCGTTGCCCCTGATGACCTCCTCCGTCACGAGCAGACAAGCGAGACTGCCGGCACCCATCCTGACAGGGCGGATCCTGGGCCCCAGGAGCAGCGGGCACGCCACGCCATCCTCGACAGCAGGGCTGCGGGCTGGACCGCGGACCCCATGCTGGTGCCCGTCGACCTTCGGCGGTCCTCGGCGGTCTCCTGCGCGCAAGCTGGCTGCTTGCGCTTGACACGGAGACCACGATCGAACCCCCAAGGATCGAGGAGGGGATCGACTGCAGAGCTAATCTACCCCAAAACTGACTTCTTCGCCGAGCCATACGTAGAATAATGTTCGTAGGTCTACGAGCATCCTACGCATTTCTCATGGCTTCGGCGAACATATTGCAAGTTTGGGGAACATGAACTCTGTAGCCGATCCCCTACTCGAAAGGAAGGATTGCGCGTCGATCCTGGGCCCGCGGCTGGCCTGGCCAAGAGAGGCGCGGGTGTGCAAGGTTTGGCGTCCCGCCACGACCGTCTCTGCTCTTCAGCCGCCCACGCACCGTGACGCGGCTGCGCTGAACCAGCGCCAGCGCATCTGCGACAGTGATGTTCAGGTTGACATGCAGGCGCCGGTGCAGGAGGTCCGGGGAGCCTCGCGAGCCCAGAGGATCATGGCCCGACTTTCGCATGCAACTATCGGGATGGATGACCTCCCAGACCTCGAAGACTTCAACACGCGTTGGGTGGAGGTGCCCGTGAAAGTCCTCGAGGTCTGCAACGCCCTCCATCCTCTGTTTGCGGCAGAGGTAATGGAAAAAGTCGGGCCCTGAAGAGGAGAACGCCCATCTAGCCCGCCTGCATGGTGTCGAGGAGAATCAGCAGCAACAGGAGGAAATGGAAGCAGGAGGAAGAGGAGTAGAATAAGAAAGGCATTTGCACGAAGGAGACTGTGGAGAAGGGGGGGAGAAGGGGCGATGGAGAGGCTGAAACGGACAATGGGCAGCAGCAGGAAAAAAAACATAGGAGGGGGGGAGGAGAAAGCAGAGGGAATAAGAGTGAGAAACCGCGGGAGGAGGCAAGGAGGTGCAGGAGGAGAAGGGCAAGGAACTGGAAGAGGAGACGGTGACTGCGCCGCGGCCTCCAGATCCGCGCTGGGCAGGGCGCGCGGCGCGGCAAGTCCACTCGGAGCCGCCGTCGGCAGGAAAGATTCCAGACTCTAGCACGATGAGTCGGAGGTCGGCTCGCTCACTCCCTCGCCCCAGCGGGCGAACGGATCGACGTCGGCTCGCTCGCTCGCTGGAGCCGACCAGGCGAGCGGGCTCTGGCCCGCCCGTCATCGTCGCGGCACCCGGAGGCGGCACCTGGTGGAGACGGCCGCCGCTGCTCGACGGTCTCGCCTCGTCTGTGGGCAGCTCCACAGAATGGTGCCGGGCGCGTGAACCCCGAGCGGCTCAGTCCGCGCAACGCGGCCGCCCCCTGGCCCCAAGGGACCGTCACAACACGACGACTCGGGATGAGAAGCCATCCCTGGGGGAAATGGCCGAGATCCCCTGGAGCCGACGCCACGCAAGACGTGCAACGTCGGAGAAGAGGGCCTGCGGAAGCCGTGAGAGAGGCCACAGGAGGCCACGGTGGGGAACTTTCGCTCAGCCTGTCGCGGCGGCGGCCCCAGCGATACGCTGTGCCCTGCACGCGGGTAGCGAAGTCGCTCGGCTCCGCGGGGCGGGAGGCTGGGCACAGCTCAGGACGCTGACGCTTGGGAGTGGGGACGCGGATGGCGTGTCGCGCCCAAGGGGCGGTGGGCCAGAACCGGCGGAGAGGCACGCTGAGCCAGAGAGGAGGCCACGGGGAAGGCCGCGGGAGGCCGCGGGAGGCCCGACCACGGGATGGCCGCGGAGGAGGCCCATGGGCCCACGGCCCCGACCCCCCGGCGCGGAGCCGGCGGGGCGGGAGGCCGAAGGCGCTCCCGTGCGCTCCCAGGCGCTCCCGGGCCGTTCCGAGCGCCCCGAAGCGCTCCCAGGCGCTGCCCAGCGCTGCCCAGCGGTCCCAGGCGCTCCCGAGCGCCCCCGAGCGTTCCCGAGCGCCCTCGGGCAGGGGAGCCACAGCGAGGCCACGGGGAAGTCACAGCGAGGCCAACCGCTGGACCGAGCCCATGTGCGGCTGCGCACCCGCGGACGGCCCCCAGGCAGCAGATCCAGCTCCTCGGAGCACAAGCGAGAAGCCCTCAGGGCCAGCACTGCTCGTGGAGAAAGGGCGCCACTTTAGGTTGTGGCTGCCGCGGCAGCAGATTGCCCGTGGGAGACTCGGCCGCATCGTGGACAAGTGCTGGGATTGCCAGCACTACGAGAAGAGCACCGCTCCTCGAGCTCCCAGAGTGCCAGTATGAAGATGCGGGCGTCGGCAACCTGCAGGCTGTGTGGAGGCATAGTGAAAGCTGTTGCAAAGAAACCAGCGAACGGGACAGGCAGGCCTGTGCCGACTCCGCCTCCGTCGCCCCCAAGCGATCCCAAAGCCAACCAGCTCTGGAGGGGGAAGGAAGACATAGAGGAGGGGAAAGAACAACAAGGTGAAGGGAAGAGAGAGGAAGAGCAAGAGTCATAGGAGAGGAACAAGACAGCGCATGCGTGCAGCGCAGACGTGCAGCGCAGGCGCATCGCGCAAAGAGTGCAGCGTGTCACATGGCCCAGTGCGCGGCGCGGGCGTCCAGCGCAGGCGCGCAGCGCTGGCACGTGCACGCGGCCCTGAAGGGGCGAGCCCGAGTCAGGCCGAGCCTGGGAGGTCCTCCGCCGGCGGCACGACGGGCTCCCGCGGACGGCCGATCGCGGGCGCGGGGTGCAGCATGTCCTGGGGCTCGGAGGCGGGCATCTGCTTCCTTTCTCCCCCAGGAGCCCCTTGCGGGCTTTTAGGGAACATATCGAGGCCTCTTGGGGGGGGGGGCATCTTCGGCGCTCCCCATGCTGCCTCCTGCGCCTCCGCCTGCTGCATCCTGAGCCTCCTCCTCCTCCTCCTCCTCCCGTCCTCCGGTCCTCCGGTCCTCCGGTCCTCCGGTCCTCCTCCTCCTCCTCCTCCTCCTCCTCCTCCTCCTCCTCGTTCTCCTCCGCCTCCTCCTCCTCCTCCTCCTCCTCCTCCTCCTCCTCCTCCTCCTCCTCCTCCTCCTCCTCCTCCTCCCTCTTCCTCTTCCTCTTCTCTTCCTCTTCCTCTTCCTCTTCCTTCTCCTCCTCCTCCTCCTCCGGCTCCTCCTTCTCCTCCTCCTCCTATTCCTCCTCCTCCTCCTCTTCCTCCTCCTCCTCTTGTTTTGACGTTGGACTAATCTTAGCTGAAAGCTGTTGCGTTCTCCTTCTCCTCCTCCTCCTCCTCCTCCTCCTCCTACTCCTCCTCATTCTCCTCCTCATCGTCCTCATCATCATCATCATCATCATCATCATCATCATCATCAGCAGCAGCAGCAGCAGCATCATCGTCATCATCATGATCATCATCAGCAGCAGCATCACAACCACCACCACCACCACCACCATCATCATCATCATCATCATCATCATCATCATCATCAGCCGCGTCAGCATCAGCATCAACATCAGCATCAGCATCATAATCCTAATCAGCATCATCAGCAGCATCAGTATCATCAGCATCATCCGCATCACCAATCATCGCATCAGCATCATCAGTATCATCAGTATCATCAGTATCATCATCATCATCATCATCATCATCATCATCATCATCAGCAGCATCATCATCATCACCATCACCATCAGAATCATCATCATCCACCTCCTCCTACTCCTCCTCTTCCTCATCCTCCTCCTCCTTACCTCCTCCTCCTTCTCCTCGTCATCATCATCATCAACAACATCCCGTCCTATTATTCCTCCTCTTCTTCCTCCTCATTCTCCTCCTCCTCTTCCTTACCTCATCCGTACCTCCTCCTTAACTCCTCCTTACCTCCTCCTCCTCCTCTTCCTTTCCTCCTCCTTACCTCCTCCTCGCCTCCTCCTTACCTCCTCCTTCTCCTCCTACTCCTCCTCGGCCTCCTCATCCTCCTCCCCCTCCTCCTACTCCTCTTCCTCCTCCTCCTCCTCCTCCTCCTCCTCCTCGTTCTCCTCCTCCTCCTCCTCCTCCCCTCCTCCTCCTTCCTCCTCCTGCTACCTCCTGGACCTCCTCCTCCTCCTCCTCCTCCTCCTCCTCCTGCTCCTCCTCCTCATCATCATCATCATCCTCATCCTCCTCCTCCTCCTCCTTCTCCTCCTCGTCCTCTTCCTCCTCCACACCTCCTCTTTACCTCCTCCTTACCTCCTCCATACATCCTCCTTACCTCCTCCTCCTCCTCCTCCTTCTCCTCCTCCTTCTCCTCCTCCTCCTCATCGTCCTCTTCCTATTCCTTCTCTTCCTCCTCCTCCTCCTCATCATCATCATCATCATCCTTATCAACAGCAGCAGCAGCATGAGCACCGTCATCAGCATCGGCATCATCATAATCAGCATCATCGGCAGAATCAGCATCGGCATCATCATCATCATCATCAGCAGCATCATCATCAGCATCATCAGCAGCAGCATCATCATAATCGTCATCAGCATCACCATCATCATCAGCAGAAGCGGTATCATAATCGCCATCACCATCAGCAGCAGCAGCAGCATCAGCATCAGCATCACCATCCGCATCAGCATAATCACCACCATGATCGTTCTCATCCTCAACAGCGACATCATCATCAGTATGATCAGCATCGTCATCAGCAGTATCATCAGCATCAACAGCAGCATCGTCACCGTCGCCTACAACAACAGCAACAACAACAACAACGACAACGACAACAGCTACAACCATAACAACTACAATTACACTAACAGCAACAACACCACCAACAACAACAACGACGACGACGACAACGACAACAACCACAACGACGACGACGACGACGACGACGACGACGACGACGACGACGACGACGACGACGACGACGACAACAACAACAACAACAACAACAACAACAACAACAGCAGCAGCAGCAGCAGCAGCAGCAATAGCAACAGAAACAACAACAACGACAACAGCATCAAAACAAACAAAATAAACAGTCAAGGCTGTTCGCTCTTGTTTGCTCGTGTGCCGTTCAACACGTGTGTCCCAAGCGCTCGATATCCGCCCTCTTCGTCTTCCATCGTACCCCATTGGGGGTATACATCTTTCTTACCTGGAACGTGTATTTGGTGCAGCCCCTGAGGCAGGGGAAGAGAGGAAGGATCGAAGGAAGGGACAAGGGGGAAGGAGGAGGATGAAGCACGAGAGAGAGTAGCACGAGGGGGGCCAGGAGCAGAAAACACGTGACAGAACCAGACGTGCAGACCGGGCGGATAGACCCGAACGGGCTGGACGGGAAGGCGGGCCCAGGCGGCCAGGTCGAGCAGGTGGGTTGGTGAAGCGTGCGTTCTGCATGAATCGCGAAGAAGTCTCGAACGATAGCGCGATTCCCAAGTGAATCGTGAGGAAATCCACAGCGAGAGCGTGATTCCTGAGTGTCGAAGGCGCGGCGTCTGAATACAGTGTAAATAAGTCCCACGCGAGAGCGCGATTCCTGCATCAATTGTGAGGAAGTCCCGCGCGAGAGCGCGATGTGGGAATAAATTGTGAGGAAGTATGAAGCGGGAGCCGTTGTTGTTGTTGTAAACAATGAGCCAACACTTCAAGTCTGAGATCCAAGACGTTCCCCGATATAGAGTGCGAACCCTGAGAAGGGCACTTCACTTGGAAAAACACACTGTGCCCTGGAGGGCGGGATCAACAAAGAGTACGAATTAGAAATGAGAGCTCGACAACAACATCAAACACATCATCAACAACAACAACAATCAGTCTAAGGCTGTTCGCTCTTATCTGCTCGCGTGCCGTGCAACACGTATACCCCAAGCCCTCGATACCCGCCCTCTTCGTATTCGATCGTACCCCCTTGGGTATACACCTTCCGTACCTGCCGCGCGTACTTGGTGCAGCCCCTGAGGCAAGGGGAAAAAGGGGACGCATTGAGGGCGGAAGGGGACGAATGGAGCACGGAACTACCAGGAGGACGGGCCCCCGGAAGGGCACTTCTATTAAAAAACATGTGCCCCGGAAGGGGGGTCGACAATAATTATAATTAATATGTAACCAACAGGAACAACAACAACCATCATTTTTAAGACTGTTTGCTCTTGCTGGCCCGTGTGTCATTCAAAACGAGTTCCCCACACCCTCGATACCCGCCCTTTTTGTCTTCGAACACACCCCCTTTAGGGGGATTTGTTCTCTTTGCGGGGGGGGCGGCGGGCTTAGACAGGCGGGCAAACCTGAACGGGCGGACAATCCTTCGTGGGCGTACATGCGCCCGCCATTGGAATTGGTGTGGGCCCTGCAAAAAGAAGAGGGGGAGAACGAGGGAGAGCGGGAGGAAGGGAGGGGGAGGGACGAAGGAAGAGGGAAAACGCCAGGAGAGAAGGAGCGAGGAGAGGAATTGATTAGAGGCAGAGAGAGACAGATAGAAAAAAAAACAAAAAAAAAAAAAAAGAGAGGTAGAGAGAGAGGAGAGAGAGAGAGAGAGAAAGAGAGAGAGAGAGAGAAAGAGAGAAAAAAAACAAAACAAAAAAGGAGGAGGCAGGGAGAGGGGACAGGGTACAGAGGCAGAAGGATGAGGGAAGAGAGGAGGGAGAGAGAGAAGGGAGGAGAGGAGGGAGGAGGGAGGAAGGAGAGGGAGGAGGAGCAGGAGGGTAAGAGCGTGAACGTTCGAGGAAGTCCTAGCCGAAAGCGCCGTTTCTAAAGGAAGTCTCGGGCGGGAGCCCACGATGGGCGGGCGATCCCCTGACGGGCGGGTCGGGCGGGTGGGACATTCAAGCGGGATGCCTGAGTATGGCGAGAGCGCGATTCCTAAGTAAATTGTGACGGCGTCCTTGGCGCAGCGTGTTTCATGAGCGTCGAAAGCGCGATTTCTGCAGGCGAGAGCGCAATTCCTGAATAAAATGTCAGGGGTTCTCTGGCGGGAGAGGGGGTCTTGATTAAATTACGAGGA